ATTAGCTATGGCCTGCTCATGAAGTGGGGAGGGTATCTGGGCCACTTCACCTTGAGTAGAAGCAGCTAAAACTTCCACCGGCCTTACGTGTTTCCCGAGCTAGAAGCCTGGGAAGAAGGTGCCCCCATCTTAGGAGGTATCTTCTGCGTGACCTTCGCGTTCTTGCACTTATACTGGGTGTGTCCGTATTCACCACAGTTGATGCAAGCACCACGCACTCTACGGTCCCGCCACACTTCCTGATCAAGACCTGCCTTGATCCAATCAGCAACTTTGGTCTGATTGGAGGCGGCCTGCCCTTGACTCTTTTGATGGCCCTTCCCTCGGCCACCTGCCTTAGTCTTTACTACTGCGGCGAGGGTGCTACCCTCAGCGATCTCCTCGCCGTCGTACTTTGAATAGTCCAACAGGTCTGTGAGCTCTTCGATCTCTGTTTGAGTCCCATCGGACTCAAGTCTTCTTCTTCCTCGCGTCAACTGAAGTAGGTTGAGCACTTCCTATAGTGGCCTCTAAATCTAAGGCTTTTCTAGATAAGGTCTCAAATGAGTGATACTCTAGGCGAGCCTCGCTGGCCAGTAAATTTCTGAGATTCTCTGGGAGACATCTCACAAACGTGGTCAACAAGAACTGGTCATCGTAATTTATGCCAGGAACGACGATGAGGCTCTCTACGGTAGTTGTAAGCTCTCTGACTGACTTGAACTTTCTTTGGTCTAGTTTGTGCATCGCATCAGTGACAATTTGTGCCTGCTGTGGATTGTGCCAACGAGCTTCTACCATTTCTAAGAACTGGTCTAACGTAATGGTCTTAGCCCAGTCCGCCATGCGTCGTCCGTACCCGGCCTTTGCGACTAAACCATCAAGCTATTTGGTTGCCTTACCCTCAAGGTAAGATGCAACAGTAATCACCTCCTCCTCCTGCAAAGTCCTCTTTGCCTTTACCCATACTGGAACCGTTCTCAACCATGTGTTGAGTTCCTCATCCTTCTTCTCTCCGGAGAAGGCAAGGGGCGGTTTCATAGGGGTCTTTGGGTACCATTGACCTTGCTGCTGTCCCTGTTGAGGAACAGGTTATTGCGGTGATGGTGTAACAACCACCGCTGACCCAGAAGAAGAAGAAGCAACAGTCTGTGCGGCTGCTGCAGACGTACCACTTGGCTATGTGCCAGCTTGTACCGGAAAGGAGCCGGACATCGTCGTTAACGGCAACGGCGACTGCGCTGCTGGCCTAAATCCTGGCCTTTGCAAAAGGTCCAAGATCTGGTCTAAAGAGTTCTGCATGAAGTCCAGCCCGCTGTCCACATGCGCATGCAGCGACAACATGCTATTCTTCAATATTTTCACTTGGTCAGTCATGGCTGACTCATCCAAACCCTCTAATGCAGCTTTGTCTGCCTCTAACGTATCAAGCCTGACTGTTCTATTTTTGATTTCTCTTTCTCTGTCGGTTGCTTGTTTCAGTTCCCTCTCTAACCGCTCGCGGATCCTTTCGACCTGTTGGAGCTCTAGGAGCTCCCTGCCGCGTAGGGTCAACGGGCTTAACTGCGAGCCCGCCATTTGACTTGTGGACTGACCAAAACCTATTGATCCAGAAGTGCCCGGGGATCCAAGGGGCATCCCCAACTGAGTCCCAAACGAGGATGCAGCAGAGGCTGCGCCGTTAGCCATTGCTGCTGCTCTGGCTGTTGCGGCCTGTTCTCTAGCTGTTAGGTTTGCTGATGTCCTCGCTGCTGCAAGAGCACGGGCTCTATGTTCGGCACGAAGCCGAGCTTCGTCTCCCGGTTGTAGGGTTTGGAACACGTGTGGGACCCTACGTGATCTCGAACGTGTCAGTCTCGCATTGTCAACTCTACCCTCATCGGTGTCTGACCCGCTCATCAGTTAGGCAAACACTATCTGCACTACAACTCCCTAATGGAGTCCTACCACAACATGTGTCTGACCGGCACCTAATTTTCTAAAAATAAATGTGTTCGGCAGGTCCCCTACTTGACCGATCAAGTGGCAGCCTACAACATTCACAAAAGATTGTCTACATAGTCTAGTCTTGTCATGATTAGTTCACTTACATAAGTTTGCAAAGAACTGGCTATGGTAGTATACAACAGTCCTAATACTAAACTATCTGTGAGGTATTAGCAGCCTGTCAACCAACTAATCAAGAACAAAACCAAACTATGTTGCAGATGCATGAACAGCGGGTATGGTTGTGTTTTCCAGTTGAGCACCAATTAGAAC